TACAATGACTCTGAGTATTCCTTCCATCTTCTCTTGATGCTTTCTGCATCGTTCAATAATTTGCCCAGAGAATCTTTCAATAACGAAAGTTGAGGCTTGGATTTTTTTCTTCAGTTTCCCCAGCTTGAGAAATGCTGAGCGTGTTCTTCCTTTTTAGTTTTCTGATTCCAGATCTTTGCACATTTTGTTGTATTGGCCTGATAGGGGGCCTTAAAAACAAAATACCAAGGTCCTATCCAAACAGTGGCTTCCCACGGGCAACTGCTGGGCCAGCTCAATTCCAGGCCGAGAGATCAGCTCAGAAAGTTATGGCAGATATTTTTGGGATTCCAATGGGTGATAGATTTCCTCAAAGGACACAGTACACTCACGGGGGCTTATTAGGAAGAAGTTAGAAGAAAATCGAAAGCTGTATCAGTGAGTATAAGGCTTGGAGAGCTGCAGGGAGGAACTGTTTTCCATCACAACGCACTTGCTCTTTCTTTGAGGGTAGCAAGGGGCTGTTGTACAATTTTGTTGGAAACCTTATCCTATCCACACTACAGTCCTGATCTTTCTTCTTCAGACTTCTGTTTCTAAACTCAAAGAACATTGAAAGGGAACATGATTTGAGTCCCTCAAGAATACCAGAACTGCTACAATCCCAAAGTGTAGACTTGTTTGGGGGCAGAGTTAGTAAAGTAGAAGCACTGTCTTCAGAAGTATGTAGGCCTCAATGGAAGATGAACTGGGAAGCAATAGCTTTACATTGTGACATTTTATTTCATAAAAGTCTCTATGATCCTGTAACGATCCTTTTTGACTCACCCTCAAAACACCTTGACAAGATGATGACGTCTGGACACTTTGACTGAAATCGGAGTGCTGGACGGTCCTGTTCAGGGCCCAGTTAGCTCAGATACCATCGGTCAGTCTTGTCTAAGGAGCATGATCTTAATACGCAAACTGTGCTTTCTAACTGACTGGTTCCCCACCCAGGGCAGCCCTAAAGCAACCAGGGACTGTGGGCAGGGGATGGACACAGGCGGGGATGGGGGCTTGTGTCTAGGAGGTGGGACTAATGGGGGGCTGTATGAGGATGAGGGGACATGGGACTCGGGGGGCTGCCTCCTCTCTGCCTGCCGCCTCAGGTCCTGGTCCTGTGGTTGGTCCCGGCCCAGTAGACAATCCTTGTCTGGTGGTCAATCTTGGCCCTGGTCAGTCCTGGTCCTGTGTACGGTTATGGTCCTGTGATAAGCCCTGGCCCTGTAGCCAGCCCTAGTCCTGTGGTCAGCCTCAGCCTTGTGGTCAGCTGTAGCCCGTGGTCAGCCCTTGCCCTGTGGTCAGCTTTGTTTCTGTGGTCAGTCCTGGCCCTGAGGACAGCCCTGGTCCTGTGGTCAGTCCTGGTCCTGTGGTCAGCCTTGTTTCTGTGGTCAGTACTGGCCCTGAGGTCAGCCCTGGCCCTGTGGTCAGTACCAGTCCTGTGGTCAGCTCTAGCCCAGTGGTCAGCCTGGTGGTCAGCCCTGTGGTCAGCTCTGGTGGTGCGCAGAGTCTGATGAGGCCCAGGGTGGAAGGAATGCAGAGTCCGATGAGGTCTCTGGTGGAAGGAATCAGTGTAGGGAGGGGCTAAGGAGAA